GGGGGGGGGAGATTTTACAAGCAGTTAGAAGTTAGAATAACTAATTAATTCATTAAGAACCAATTTTGGTATGCATGCTTAATATTAAAGAAATGCTTTTAAAGTGAGGATGTGTTAATATTAACTTTATTTTATTGAGCAAATTATCAGTAATGATGCTTATATCTTAAAAATTGGCAAAAATAAGACCACAAAATATCATCATTGAATGTTTCGGTTTATATATTTAATGTAAACACTTTTTAAAATCTGACATCAGGCAGACTGATAGGATAAAAAGGAAGTATCTATGGAAATAGTGTTCTGAATCAACGTAATATAGCAACAACATTCCTTCTCTGACATAATTAGTATGTACAGAGTTGTCATATTGGCAATAGATTTTTATAGTATAAAAATATAGTATATACTCAAAGATGAGTATATGATTTCAGTTTCATAATAATAAACTTGTACATATGCATAACAGACATACTCAGGAATGTTCAATGCACCATTGTTCGCAACAACAAAAAGACTAGGAATAACCCAAAATCAATTACGATTATATCATAAATACCAAAGTATTAATATATTAAGAGTACAAAAATACATAAAATACAAATTAATGGTGATAGTAGTTGACTCTGGTGAAGGAAGGAGAGGAACTGGATTGGGGAGGGAACTATGTTATGTTTCATTTATTTAAAAAATAGGAAACAAATATGCAAATTTTTCATTTGGGCGGGGTTAGTGCATGGGTATATTGCTATATTACTCATACTTTTAATTTAAAAGGAAATAAAATATGCACAGAAGAAATAGAGGAAACGCATTAGAATGTTAATGGCAAATCATTCTGGGTAGTGGGATTTGGTGTGATGAATTTTCTAACATTTCACTACAGTTTTTACATTTTCTATAAGGATCATGAAATATTTTTATAAAAAAGAAAACATGTTATGGAATTAAAAAGTATGATTTTTCCTTAAATGACAGCTATTGTATTATAGAAAATTACAAGCATTTTAAAACTATTAAAAGTGATATTTGGCTCTAACCTCTTCTTGATCCAAATCTTTATCTCTGATATCCAATTCTGAAAGATCGATTGTAAGACTATCTTTTTCACTCTTCCAAATATCATCAGGTTCTTTCTTTTTGGGTCCCACTGTGCTTAAGTCAGCTTTATCAGGCAAAAGGCTGATTCCCCTTGGTATGGGAGGGACAGGTTTGGTCCCATTTAGGCCTCGGCGGGAAGATGGTGATCTCACCAAGGCAGGGGTAAGTTGAACTGGAGATAGTTTTTCTTGAGAATTTTCTCCTGCATGAAAAGAAATATATTTTATTTTATTTTTTTAGTTTCAGAGAAGTGGAAGTTATAATCACAAGTGTTTGGAATACAATGTTTTTAAATTAAAAAATACACTTTTTTTTTAATCCAACGTTTTTATTTATTTTTGGGACAGAGAGAGACAGAGCATGAACGGGGGAGGGGCAGAGAGAGAGGGAGACACAGAATCGGAAACAGGCTCCAGGCTCTGAGCCATCAGCCCAGAGCCCGACGCGGGGCTCGAACTCACGGACCGCGAGATCGTGACCTGGCTGAAGTCGGACGCTCAACCGACTGCGCCACCCAGGCGCCCCACACTTTTTTTTTTTATTAGGAGTGAAGATACTATTTAAAATGAGGTCAAAGTATCAGGGTCCCCTAACAAATATAACAAAACTGAGTCACCAGAATTTCTTTCATATTAGATAAAAATACTGTATACACCAAGTAAAATTTCTGTCTTCATACACATTATCATAACTGATATTTGTACAGAAAAGTCTATATGTCCCTAAATAAGCCACAGGGGCTATTTCCTATCTTCATTTAATTACATACACAACATTTGAATGACTACTATACACAAAACATTAATGCCAGGCACTAGGAGAACAAACTGAATAATTTTTCAGCTTTCAATACAATATTTGATCTTAGAGGAAAGACAAACATAGAAAGAAATTAATGGAGAAAATGAAGGTTCAGTGCTAAGAATAAGTGGTAAAATTGACTGACCATGCCATAAATTGCCCTTGGTCATGTTATAAACTAGAACATCAGTGTTGTGGGGTAGTTTAAAGGTAGAACATCTTTTTTTGTTGTTTGTTTGTAAGATTTTGTTTTTAAGTAATCTCTACACCCAACGCGGGGCTTGAACTTACAACTCCAAGATCAAGAGACACATGCTCTACTGACTGAGTCAGCCAGGCACCGCAATCAGTTATGAACTGGAACATCTTACTGCAGAGATTGGGAATAAGAAAGTATGTAGGATATAGGGGTCGCCTTTACTAGACTTATTTTGAAATTGGATCTGTCTTGAATAAATTTATATGCCAATTTCATTATTTTGGAGAGGACTATTGTTAAGGATATTTTAATTTATAACAAATACTAGAAAACTTAAAATAATTTGAACATATACTAAGCATTCAAAAAATGTAGAATAAATGGATACTAAACAATAATTATAGTAATTATATGAATGGCATTTTTTATTTCTAAAGTGAAAATTTGTTACTGGGCTCTTAGGCTGTTCATGCTCATTACAAAGCATTATTAGTTGAATAGTTTTGAAAAAGGATTCTGAAGTAGAAAACTAAGAAATGACAATGTCAATTGAATTTTATTTTTTTAATGTTTATTTATCTTGAGAGAGAGGGAGAAGAGGGAGAGAGAGCACACATGCATGCAAGGGGGAGGGGCAAAGAGGGAGAGAGAGAATCCCAAGTAGGCTCCACGATGTCAGCAGCACAGCCTGACACAGGGCTTGAGCCCACAAACTACGAGATCATGACCTGAGCCGAAATCAAGAGTTGGATGCTTAACCAAATGAGCCACCCAGATGCCCCTCAATTCAATTAAAAAAAATTTTTTTAATGTTTATTTATTTTTGAGAGAGAGACAGAGAGTGTGAGCAGGGGAAGGGCAGAGAGAGGGGGATACAGAATCCCAAACAGGCTCCAGGCTTCGAGCTGTCAGCACAGAGCCCAATGCCGGGCTCAAACTCATGAACTGTGAGATCATGACATAAGCCGAAGGCAGACACTTAACCGACTGAGCCACCCAGGCACCCCTCAATTCAATTTTATATTACAGGTTTGAACTATTTAACATAAATGCAGTTTACCAGCTTTTAAAGATTAAAAAACCCTAACTCCAAAGTAATAATTCAAAAACACATGAAAATTTGAACAAAGTATTAATTTTTACCATCATTTATACCTGGAGGGTCAGACGATTTTTGGCTGACAAGCTTTTTCTGTGGACTTGGCTTTGGTAGTCCCTCAAAGCTTTTAAGAGGCCAGGAATTAGAGAAATTGATGCAATTATCCTGAGACTTCTTTGGAGATACAGTAAGAGATGTGTGCTTTGGACTAGTTCGAGGTGATGAGACAGGATAGGATGGAAGGATGAAGCCTCCTGGACTTGGATTTAGACCAGAGTATGACGAAGTACGTTCTGTTTGGGTACCAAATGTCTGTTGTGTCTTAGGAGCAAAATTTAGGCTAGCATACGCTGTAATAAAACAAAAGAAAATATATTATCTATGTATACACATCTAAGATTTTGAAGTTTTTTGCTTTTCACATTCAAGTTTTTATCCCATCTGGCATTTATTTTATTTACTTTTTTGTGCAGTGTGAGGTAAAGATCTAATTTAACTTTCTTCTATATAGATAGTACAATTTTCCCAGTGCCAGGTCTTCATGTTTATTTTTGAAAGAGAACAAGAGAAAGAGTGGGGAGGGGCAGAGAGAGAGGGAGACCAAGGATCCAAAGCAGGCTCTGCGCTGACAGCAGAGAGCCCGATGTGGGGCTTGAACCCAGGAACTGTGAGATCATCACCTGAGCCAAAGTCGGCCGTTTAGCTGACTGAGCCACCCAGGCTCCCCTAGTGCCATGTTTTAAACTGTCCTTTCTTGAGTGAAATATGGCCTTTTGTAGCAACGTGGATGGAACTGGAGAGTGTTATGCTAAGTGAAATAAGTCACACAGAGAAAGACAGATACCATATGTTTTCACTCTTATGTGGATCCTGAGAAACTCAACAGAAGACCATGAGGGAGGGGAAGGAAAAAAAAAGAGAGGGAGGGAGCCAAACCCTAAGAGACTCTTAAAAACTGAGAATAAACTGAGGGTTGATGGGGGTGGGAGGGAGGAGAAAGTGGGTGATGGGCATTGAGGACGACACCTGTTGGAATGAGCACTGGGTGTTGTATGGAAATCAATTTAACAATAAATTTCATATTAAAATAAATAAATAAACTGTCCTTTCTTTTCCTTTCATCTATAAAGCTCCTACGTGTGTGTGTGTGTGTGTGTGCATATCTATATGTATATATGTATGTATACACATACACACTTAACGTGCTTCTTATTGGTTCAATTAGTCTATTTTGCCTATCCCTGCACTAGTATTACAATGTTTTATTTATCATAGTGCTATCCAATAGGATGGATGTCTCATTTTTATCTTCCTTAGAATTATCTTGGCCATTCTTGACCCTCCATTCTTTCATATTTATTTCAGAATCAGCCTGTCAGGTTCTATGTAAGAACCCTGGTCAGATTTTTGATTGGAGTGACACTGAATTTACAGATCTAAGAATAACTGCCACTTTCCTGATATTCAGCCTCCCTATTTAAAAATGTGGGATAGCCTTAATTTATTTAGGTCTTCTTTTATGTGTTTCAGAAATGTATTTTAGCTTTCATAATAAAAGGTATATAAATCTTTTGTTAGACTTCCATACACTTATAGATTTTGTTCATACTGTTAATTTCTTTCTTAAAAATTATATTTTCTGAAAGTTGCTTGTATCTAAGAACTTTATTGATCTTTATATTCTGGTTTATATCTGGCAACCTTGCTAAACTGCCTAATATTTTAAGAGTTTTCTGTATATCCTTTTAGATTTTCTATATAAACTATTAATATTAATAATGATAAAGATGGCAACAATGAGAACTAATGCTTATTGAGCACTTTACTATGTCAAGTGGTATTCTAAACTTTTCATGTGTATTAACTAATTTAATCTTCATAACACCCTGTGGGGGTAGGTACTAATCTTATAGATTAAAAGAAAAAATGTAAAGAGGGTAAGTAAATTGCTAAACATCACACACTAGGAAATCATAAAGCTGGGATACAGACCCAGGCACTGTGGCTTCCCAGTGTTCTTAATTACCACATTGTACCACATTTTATCGGAGAGTAATGACAATTTTTCTTTATTCCTCTACAAATTTTATTTTATTCTATTTTTTACAAATTTTATACTTTTAATTTTGAGCTACACTCTCCCTACACGGGAAGTACAATGACTCCCAAGTTTTTAGCATGGATTTTCCTTTGCTTCCAGACTTAATATCAAAATGTCACTCAACATCTTCTTTAAGAGACAGATGTCCCAAACTTAACATGTTCAAAACAAAGCTTTTGATTTCTCAGTCAAATCTATTCTTTTCCTAATCTTCTGCTTCTAGGTAAATGGCAGCTCTATTCTTTAAGTTGTTTAGACCAACAACACTGGGCTCATCCTTGACTCCTCTCTTCTCACAAACTTCACATCTAATCCATTAGTAATTCTTTTTGGCTCTATATTAACAACACATGGTGATTACTGATTCTGAAAACTTTGGTGAATACAGAATAAATGGCTTATTCGTATTACATTAGCATACATTATAAAATAAAATTACCCATGTTTCCAAACTTCACAGCCACCTTATATATCAGAATCCAACTACTTCTCATCACTTTCATTGCTTCCTTTCTAATACAAACCATATCATCTCTCGCCTTTACAACTTCCATATCCCAATTGGTTTGCTTTGTACCTTACCCCTATTGCTACCAAACCTATTCTCTACATAGTAGCTCTGATCCTTTTAAAGATTGTCAAATCATGCCCCTTTTTTCCCTCAAAAACCTACTGTGATTTCCTATCCCATTCAGAATAAAATCCCAAATTCTTACTATGTCCAGCAAGGCCCCATGTTATTGCCTAAAATTACTCTCCCCCTCACTCATTTCATTGACCTGGATATTTCTCCAATAAGGCTGCTTCAGAGCACTTGTAGTTCTTTTTTTAATTTACTTATTTATTTTAAGAGAGAGAGAGAGAGACAGCGTGAGCAGGGGAAGAGCAGAGAGAGAGGGTGAGAGAACAATCTCAAGCAGGCTCTGTGATGTCAGCACAGAGCCCAACACAGGGCTTAAACTCAAAAACCAAGAGATCATGGCCTGAGCCAAAACCAAGAATGGGCCACTCAACCAACTGAGTCACTCAGGCGCCTCCAGAGCATTTATACTTTGATTGTTCTCTCTTCCTGGAATGCTCTTTCTCCAGATATCCACGTAACTCCCTCCTTCACTGCATTCAGTTTTCTGCTGAACATTTTTACTTCACAGAAACTTTCCCTATCACATTCTGTCTTCTTACCCTGCCTTATTTTTCTTCATAGCGGTCACTTCTATTCTTATCATTCCTTTATTATTTCCTCTTCTACTAGATTTTGATCTTTAGATTCTAGAACAGTGCCTGCTTCTCAATAAATACTACAGGGATTAGTAATTCAATGTTCAATAGCAATGGTAACAGTGAGCATTTTTGTCTTATTCTAATATTTTACTACTAAATATAGTTGCTATAGGCATTAACAGACATAATTAATCAGGTTAAAAAAGTTATTTGTAGTTTGTTGTAACTTGGTAATCATACCAACTGATGTTGAATTTTAACTGCATCTGTTGACATATTTATATGGTTTTCTTCCTTCTATCTGTGATAAAGTTAAAAATACAAGATACCTAAAAGGGTACTTAAAAGTTAAAACTGCTATGGAAAATAATGGTCTTCTGCTAACACAGTACTTCTTAATGAAAAACATTTTTAATTACTTGGTATTAAAATGCTCATCTCCACCATGAATTTCTAAACTCTCTAATTTTCATCAGTCATATATACGTACGAAGATTATTAAAACTAACATTTTAGGGTTACAACTATGAAAAAATGTTATTAAGATTTTTATTAAAAATATGACATGTTTTTCTTTCCTGTAGTGAATATAATTACACAAAATAATATATAAGCTAGATTTGGAAACCTCCCTTAGTATTTATAAATCATTCACATCCAAATTAAGTTGGAATTTAAACCTTTATCTTGAAGACTAGTAGTTGTCCCCAGGTACTGTAAGTCAGAGTCCACACTGCCAGTTTTCCCACATATCTGTGAAAATCCAAGTTGTCCACATTTCCCAGAAACATTTGTCTGATGAGTCCCAGTACTGCCTTTGGAAGGAAGGAAGGAAGAGAAAAACATAAAAGTAAATGTTAACTTTACTTCATGAATACATCTAATTTCAGAAATACTGATTTCATTTGTGTGGGAATAAATACAGGGGTAAATGTACAGTAAGCCAGGCAGGAAGAAAGGGAAAGTTTTTGCTGTTGGCATATCTGATTGGTATCAGGGGTTAAAGAACAGAAGAGAGAGTGGAAAAGTACAAAGAAAGGTATATTGAAAAATACACACAAAAACAGTTTCTTCCTACATGTTCCCTCCTCTCACTATGGAACGTTTCCCCAGACCTGACTTTCCTTTTTTTTTTCCCTCAAGTTTTTATTTAAATTCCAGTTAGTTAACATGCAGTGTACTATTAGTTTCAGGAGTAGAATGTAGTGACTCATCACGTACATACAATAGCCAGAGCTCATAACAGCAAATGCCCTCCTTAATTCACATCTCCCCCCCGCCTTCCCACTGGTAACCTTCAATTTGTTCTCTATAGTTAAGATTCTGTTTCCTGATTTGCCTCTCTTATTTTTCCCCCATGTTCCTCTGTTTTGTTTCTTAAATTTTACATATGAGTGAAATAATAATGGTATTTGTCTTTCTCTGACTCAATTTGCTTAGCATAATATACTACAGCTCCATCCATGTCATTGCAAATGGCAAAATTTCATTCTTTTTGATGGTTGAGTAATATTTCATTGTGTGTATATACCATATCTTCTTTATCCATTCATCAGTTAATGGACATTTGGGCTTTTTCCATAATTTCAGCCACCCTGGAAAATTAGTATGGAAGTTTCTTCAAAAGTTAAAAAAATAGAATTCACCCTGTAGATCCAGCAATTGCACTGTGAGGGTATTTAATTCACAAAAAAGAATACAAAACACCAGATTTGAAGGGATAAAGTGCACCCCAATGCTTATAGAAAGCAGCATTATTAACAGAGTAGCCAAATTATGGAAAAGCCTCCATTAACTGATGAATGGATAAAGAAGATATGGTATATAACAATGAAATATTACTCAACCATCAAAAGAATGAAATTTTGCCATTTGCAATGACATGGATGGAGCTGTAGTATATTATGCTAAGCAAATTGAGTCAGAGAAAGACAAATACCATTATTATTTCACTCATATGTGTAAAATTTAAGAAACAAAACAGAGGAACATGGGGAAAAATAAGAGGCAAATCAGGAAACAGAATCTTATAATATAGAGAACAAATTGAAGGTTACCACAGTGGGAAGGCGGGGGGAGATGTGAATTAAGGAGGGCATTTGTGTGAGC